TTATTTTGTTCTTATTCTACACACTTTTCAAAGATAGAAAATTATATTGTACAGCAGTATAGGGCCTATTTATTACCGTACTATATTTATAGGGGTTCTTACATAGTCACACCTACTTCACATAAGTTACAGACAAGATTTGTTGGGGTTTTTCTTTTTGTTTTTTTAGTAAAAACCTAATTTGTCATTTTACCTCAGCCTCCATTCGTCTTTATTTATTTATTTATTTTTTATGCAATTCTACCCACGGTGTTCTTATAAAATGTGTTCTTATAAAGAAACAAGTGTAAATCTATTTTTATTTCTGCTTAAAAAAGGCCAACAAAGCTTTCGACGCTCCATTTAAGAAAAAAAAAATAATAAAAAAATAAGAACCAGTAAATGTTTGCCCAGACTCAGTGTTCTTATTATTTTGTTTATATTCTATACACTTTTCAAAGACTATTATTGTACAGCATTATATTACTGGATATTATAGAGGATATATGCAGATTTACACCTACTGCACATTAGGTAGAGATAAGATTTGGTGGGTCTCTCAGTTTTTAAAGTAAAAAACCTCGTTTGAAATTTCACCTCAACCTTAATTAAAGAAAAGTGTAAACTCTTGTTTTTTCTTTATTTTTATTTCTGCTTAAACATGCCCAACGCTTTCTCTTTGGAAGCTTTCGACCCTCCATGTACTCATTTTTCATTATTTCTGTCAAAACTCTGCCACCATCTTCCTGGAACACATCCATTTGTCTCATCTGGAATATAAGTAACCCATGTTTATGGTTTGCACCGGCTGTGGACATCTTCTAAATACCTGTGTGATTTCGGCGTGAAATGCGCTCCAATGTGTAAATGAAATTATGTGCATGCTCGAGTATAGGGCTTGTGATTACGCGACGAATTCACTCTTCTGTACGTTCTCAGCCCTACTACGTCCTATTAATTCGGACTACAAATTCAACGTCGTCGCACGCCCAGAAAACTCTATTGTGACATGATTACGTTCGAGATCTTACCACCGCCAGGATTACAGTGCGATTCATTCTTTCGATTTTGTAAAGTTTTAATGGAATATCATTATTTAAAGTTTCTCCAATTTGTTAAATGTATTACAGAGGTAGTTTTCCGTAAGCCCCGTACACGGGTTGGACCGAGAATTGGAGTGCGTATTACAACTTGTGAAGCCATGATGACTGTGGTCACAGGAGCATTGAAATGCACCATTAGACCCTGACACACAAACTCCGTAAATTATAAGCAATTAGAGGTGGGCAAATAATACGAGTCATCTCAATTAAGAGTTTGGTTCTTGCTAGTGTTGAGATAATAAAAAAACAAAGTCTTTGTGCCAATTGCGTGCCGCGCGGTCCGCGTAGTAATTTCAATCTCTTGCACCCCCTCGTGTAGATATGCAACCGTCTTTCTCGTTCCTTATAAAATTCTCAAGCCAGTAAATACAAATAGTATTGAATTAGGCCTATTTAAAATTGCTTATTATATATATTTTTGTATATCGAAAGAATTTCCAATCGCATTTAGAACGAAAACTCATTAAAAGATATGGTACATTTACAGTTTTTATATGATTTGCAGTGTAAAATGTTTAAATCACAAAACGTCAATTGTTCCATCAATCCCTTTGTGTCCGAAGAAATTGACAATTTATTAAAATAAGCGATTCAAAATTTTTTTCAAAATTTTGACACAGACATTAAGCCAATATAACTATATTCAATATAGTACAGCGTGTTATAGGCCTAGTCTTTTGAAACCAATCTCAGAACCCTAACGAAAATACCAAAAATACCGAAATAGAAAAAATAGCAATAGAAATATAACACAACATTAATATTAATTTAAATTTAAATTGCAAAGTACCAACAGCAATAGCAAATGCAGGTAGCAAAAACAATAGCACCCGAAGAAGTATAAACATATCTCAGAGCAGAATTTCAATAAGGAAAACATACGGGTATCAAATATAAAATATAATCACATATCTAACCAAGAGAATAATAGGCCTAATCTCGGACTAATGAATGAACCGAACAGAAACACCGGCACTACCATGGGCTATCGCACTTTAAATTAAAGCGGCACGCACACCAAATCCGAATTTTCGGAACGGAAAGCCTACCTAACCGATCAGAAAATCGGATCAGTGTGTACGAATAGGGTCGTTGGCATTTAGGGCATCAGACACGTGTCCGAATTTGGTTCGTATCCAGTGTGAATTCAAATTAAGCCTGCATTTTGTAGGTGCAACTACTTGTATTATTAAAAGGTACTAAAAGTTGGTAGATCGTTGAACTGTGGCACATATCCAAATAGAAAATTCAATATGTTCTTCCGACATCAGCATGGCATGGGCTAAGAAAATAAACCTCTACGAAAGAGGGCTATCTCGTTTCCCAATCCAGTTACACTAGTTTCTAGCAGGCTCAATCATTCGCATTGTTTGCTCGTTAATTTAAAACCCTTTCCTGGAATTTTAAAGACAATAATTACGGTGTTACTTACATTACACGAACTTTTGCTCTTTGATTTATGAGAAAACCATATTTATTAGTAATGTTTGTACATAACTACAATATCATATGATATGTCCACGTAGTGGTGTACCGCAACTATATATTATTACTTCGCCATGCAAAACGTCAAACAATATTATAATATCATCATTAGGCATTGTATCGTTAGCATGGTTATAATTATTATTATGAATATTAATCGTATTACTAGAAATCATTATTAGCAGTAGTGAAATAAGAATATATAGCATTAGGCCTAATTCAACAAAAGTCGTCGTAAATTCAATATTATATTAGATTTATATATATTAGACCTATTCATAATTATTAATATCTACTCTCATTATTATAGACCTAATCAATTCATCCTAATCATCATCATCATCATCATAATGATTATAATCAAAATCATCATTATCGACATCATTAATCGTCCTTCTCCTCATCAAGATAATCGGCATCGTCTTTGTCATTGATTACTTTTAGCCTAATAATTACCTATTTACAGATAGGCTAATTATACTATTATTTGTATATATTTCAATCTATCAATCACTCTTAACCAGCAACCTCAGCTTTACAAAGCAGTGTATTAGTTGCCTATCCTGCGTACATCTGTATGATTCATTACAACTTAAAGATTAGTATGACAAAACAAACAGTTGCTTTTGAGTAAAACAATATTCTTTATTTCGTAATTTAGCAATGATTTTCTTCACTTCAATACTCTTGACAACAGTCCAACACCTGTCTTAGAACACCAATCCACTTTGCGGCGATTTAACCGAAACAAAACGGCTATTAATTTCTGCAGACACAGCGCGCGTGCCTCTTTCAATTCTCTATTGTCTCCGTTAGAAATGTAACCCCTATACCACTAATCGGATCAATTTATTAGATTAAAAACGTTGCTTGTGATCCTATAAGGTGGCCTGTATGTTTTACCAACGTTCGACTAATGAATCTGGTCAGTTCGCTCATGCTGAAACGTCTTTAAGACTACCACAGAGGCAAAAACAAACTGTTTAATAATAGTTGCTTGAATGAGATCTATTATAACGACTGTATCTACAATGAGCGCAGTGTTCCCTACACTTTGATCTATTTGACTTTTTGAAAGGGTGTTTAGAATGTTTCTTTGTCTCTAAAGTATTATGAAAATATTAGGTGTTAATTGATAAGAATCATTTATTATACCTAAAATCATACTTAATCATACTTAAAAGATAGGACAAATTAATATCAAAGCCCCAACACCGACCCATGGAGTACTATGTTTAAATTGAATAGAAGGCGAACATGTTCTTATACGGGTTCCTATAAGGAAACTTGAGTTAATACAATTATAAACAATTATTTCCATACTAACGTTAAAGCGTAAAACGATTCAGACTGACCCAATGATAAGTTATGAATTATTTTCTTTCATTTAAGCGAGCAACTTAAAGTCAATCGTACCTCAGTCCAAACCATAGTGGCGCTGAGGTGGTCTGGACACTCTATCTATAAAAGCCCCTCCTCAAATTCTTGGATCCGCCAATTTACACACCGTCTGTATCACCAGAATAGTTTAGTATGATATTTTAAATCTTTGATACTTTAAAATAATACGCATGGTTTCTAATCAATTTTAATAATTTATATCCAAATTATTTAAAAGAACGTTAGCTAACCATGTTCATAACACTAGTTGATGAAAAATAAACTTTACTGTAAATAAGTCTTGATATCACAATGCAATGTACTAAAAGTGGAATTACGGTAGCTGCCAAACAACAACGGTAGAGTTAAATAGTTTAGTGGTAAAAATGCTTGCCTTCTAATTCGGGGTCCTGGGTTCAATTCCTGTGAGCGCAGGACTTTCTCTCAAGACTAAAAACAACTCCACTTCCCAAGTCTCATAATGAGACTTCGCTGATAAAAGCATCACATTATTTCATTTATTTAAGAGGGCCCCTGAATATCAACCGACCTTCTAAAACAAAATTAGATCCGAAAGGGCCTTTGAAAGACATGCTCAGAAAAAAATCTATGGATATCATATCATGGTTATTTCAACATTTCATAGGCTCTAACTTAAATTGAAATAATTAATTTTCAATTTTGATTGAACTGTACAGTTCATGACATTCTTAATACAGAATCCTAATTCCCTTAAATCAAACTAGGTCTGTGTGTGCTTCTGCCATTCATTCATTCATTTATTCAGTCAAAATCAATATACAAATCACGGAAACTTCATAAAATTGAAAAGAAAGTTAAAAACCGATGTCGCAAACATTGCATAAAATTGAGAACAATTTAGAAAAAAATGTGCATTGAATAAAAATGTAAAACATTGTAATAAAAATTTTTAAAAATTTATTATTAAATTATTATTATTTTTTTTATAATTTGTGTTAGCTCTATAATTTGTGTTCAATTCAATTTTAATGACAACATAAACAGTAATGAGACTATCTTCAACACTCTTACCTTTGTATCTCCAACGTTCAGCGATCTTCACTGTTACGCCCCTTATGAGAAGATGACTTTGTTTTTTTCCACATCAAAATCAAACATACCGGTATCTAAGTGTTATATTAAAAATTATTGGGCTATTAACATAGCAATATCTGTGTATCAATTAATTCCTTTTAAAACTTTTGTGCTAGAAAATTTATTTAATGAGGAATAGTTATTTAAGTCGAATAAAAGTGGCGGTAAATTACAACCCTGTCTGAAGGACCGCTATATTGTCTGATTTAAACTTTGCATAACGTCATTCTATCATAACAATTTTTTTACACATTGATTAAATTGTTTTTGATACCGAGTTGGATAATTTTATATCATAACTTGTTTATAATTTATGATGTCAAACTTTATGTATAGTAATCTCCTTTACTTTGACGTCAATATTTGCAGATTATTTAATTTAAAGCGAAAACGTTTGGTAGTACTATTTCCACCTCTTTCGTGTAGGTTTATTGTACATCGTAACTGTTTTCTAATAATAAAAGTGATGATGATGATGATGATGATGATGATGATGATGATGATGATGATAGTGATTATTGTGATGATGGTAACTATAGCTACAAGTCTATATAGGCCTCTATCAAAGGTTTATATTATTCATTAACCTTTTGTTATGGAATTGGAAAATTTGGGTTGGACTTTAGGTACTGTAGAAGGCAGTTTTTGAATTAGCGGTAAGCTTAACATTAAGCGCGGGAGGCATTGTTTTCTGATATACATACTGGTTATATTATTCGGGACCTACGGCCTGACACTTCTTCCGAAAGACGGTACCACATGTAGTAATAACCAATATTGCTATGTTTTACTTGTTATTTTTAAAATACCGACAGCCTTACACAAAGTTTCTTTCTAGAATTCTAAAATCTTGTTTAAAGCCGATCAAGAGAGAATTAATTATTGTTGCTTTAACCTGCATAATATTATGATAATAAATAATTATCATAACTATAGTAGTGATAAATAGTAATGATAATGATATAACAACCTCTTGAACGAATCTTTGAGATTGTGAATTTAAAATTGTGTAATATTTGTTGTATCTGTAAACATAATCTGTGTTCCCATAAAAACAACATTTTTTGTTTATAATTTTTCATATACATCTCAGAGAATGTTTACAAACTGATAAGCAATCTAGTAATTAATGTCAGAGCTTCCTTATATAAAGGGCTGCGTACGTGTTTCTTGTCACAGAGTCGGTTGCAACAGTAGCAGTTAATCACGTGTTTGATTAATGCACTGGGCATGACTGATTCTTCTTCAACCATGTCTTCTTACAGGAAAGCTGCTCGGACCATGCTTGCTTGCAGAGACATCGTGACGTTGTTCTTGGCCTGGCTTGTTGCCGTAGCCCGTTGTCAGAGTCTGCCCACAAGAGACGAAGAGTTATTTATTCACCAGATGAAAAATCCAGAAACATTCCACGACTCACGTCTGATACCTGACGGGGCAGAAGTCAAAGCATACGCTATGACGTCTAGCTTATCACCGTAAGTGAACGAACGTTCGTAAATCGTCGATTTGGCGAAAACTGTCGATAATGTTTGTTTCACAAAATATGCAAAATGTTTAATATTAATATTACGGTACAATGGCACTGATACCATTTTTAGCTCATCGGTATTTCAATCTTAAGGCTAGAAGTTCGATTTCCATTCGGAGCCATTGTTTACTGTTCTTAGTGGGGGGGGGGGGGTAAAACGGGGTACTTGGTAAATGTTAGTACACTAATAGTACACCGTAACGCAATACTCACCCAAGTATACCTACCTGTGAACAGTGTTCAATAGAAATTTATTCTCAATAATCGAAATAGTATTGTGCCAATTATGTGCTATTAAATGACTGGAGTATTATCATCATCATCATCATCATCATCATCATTATCATCATAATCATAGTCATAATCATTAACACAATTATTACATCAAATCATTAAGCCTATCTATGTTATAGTCATTACCATTATTAATGTTATTGTTGTTATTACTACTATTATTAATGTTATTGTTGTTTTTATAATAATAATTATTATTATTTATAATGCTATTATTATTGTTATCATTATCATGAATACTTTTTTTTATCATTATCATCATTAATATTTATATTATCATCAATTATTATATCATCATTATCTACGTCATTGTCATGACTATTATTAATTTTATTGTTGTTATTACTATTATTAATGTTATTATTGTTGTTTTTATAATAATAATGATAATAATCATTATTATTATTATTATCATGACTATTGTTTTATCCTTATTATCATTAATATATTTTTACTAAAGCTTAATATTATTACCAATATTTTATCAATATTATTATTTATTATCATTTTTTTTTACGTAATCCTTCACAAGAACGCATAGTGTTATTGTGGTGTGTACCGATGTTAGTGATCCAATAAATATGTAATGCTTTATCCTATATATATATATATATATATATATATATATATATATATATATATATATATATATGGATGATGTGATGTCATCATAACCATTATTCTAATATAGGCATGTCACATAAAATGTTATAGTCTAGACTGATTTTAACAGATGAATAAATATAATTTGAAACGTGCATCGTCATTTTACAGGTATTTTTTCTTGGTTGAGGAGGATAGTACTGCATTAGCGATTACTGTAACGCCGTGTGCATCACCATTAGAATGGATGCTCTCCGGGCCTATATATGACATGCTCGAAGAAGGGAGTGCTTCAGGTAGGCCTAAAACTTGTTCTTATACTCAACAGATAAAATTGTTAAAGTGAAAGTTTTAAAGTTCGCACCGTTTAAACAGATGATATAATGTCGTGCCTAGAGCGAGGAAATCATAAATTTGAGATTAAAAAAAAATTGATATGCCTTTAGGAAGATTTTCAATCAAAATGACAGCGTATCGCTTCTTTTTGATATATATATATATATATATATTTATATATATATATATATATATACATATGATTGGTAATTATATAGAATTAGTTTCTAATGTTATGTTAATATTACGCAACGTCTGAAGCCGACCGTGTCATTTCCATTTAAGTTTGAGAAGCAATTTAACTCCTTTGTAAGAATTGTTATAGAACCTCTACCACACCAGTTTTTTCAACCAAGAGTATTAAACTTGTTACATTTTGGACTTGTCTTTCGCACGAGAACCTGTTTATTAAATGGATAACCTGCAGAAACTCGAACTTATTTTCAGTCTCAGAGATACTAACGTTGTATTAAGGCCTGTTTATCATGCTTTAACGATAACGATAACGATAAAATAGCGATTGTTCATATAGAAAACAAAAGAAATAGGCCTAAGAGAAGTTATTACACTAGGGCGATTCGATAACAATTTATCGTGTATACGATAACAAAATATTTAACAAATCAAATCAGATGACGTCATAATAATGGAAAAACAATTAAAATCGTTGCTACTACTATGATTTTAATGTTTTTCATGATTATGACGTCATGTGATCTGATTTGTCAAAATATGTTGTTATCGCATAAATGATAAATCGTTATTAAATCGTTCTAGTGTAAAAACTTCTCATATTTCTTTTATTTTCTATATGAACAATTGCTTTTTAGCTTCTTTATTTTTATCGTTATCGTTGAAGTATAATCAGGCCTTTATATGACTTTTTTTTTGTCTATTCTTCAGGTATTGAACAATTTGAAAAGCAATGGCCACAAAGGCGATCATCTCTTAGTATGGGTTCGCCTTTGAAGACATACATAGGCCAGAATGTCAGCACACACTCGTTAAGTAATTCACCTGCTGGAATTTACATGCTAAGTGTCCGAGCAATAGAGAAAGATTCCAGCTTTATGATCTATGCGACGACAACGCCGAACTCTGATCGTATCTATCCTGTTTTACCGTCAGACTCACAAGTCGACGTAACAGCAGTACGCAAAAATCGTGTTTCACTTGCGTGGAAGGCGAGCGTTTCAGACACCGTATATAAACAACCAATTAAGTATTGTGTAGCGATGAATACCGAACGCAATTATCCCACTTTATGTAGCATTGAAGCTCGTCTGTACGGTGATCGCCGGCCAGTCGTGCCTAACACCGGCTTCGGATTTTCTAGCGAAAAAAATAAAAATATAAAAGAATCACGGAAAAATAGGAAGCGCAAAAACAGACGAGGACCTCCGTCAAATGGGAGCCTGTTGCGCAGTGAATCGGATATAACATTCGAGTGTATTGGGACGAAGACCCTTCACACGTTTACAGATTTGGAGCCTAATCAGAAATACTTCTTTGATGTTTTTGCCGTCGACACGACAACAAATCGTAGCACAGCGTACACGAGTGTTGAGGTTGTTACACGTCCCAGTGAGAATGATGAAAAGGTAGTGGTACTAAAAGATGGAAAAATAATAGATTCTTCTGTTCGACCCTCTCAACCGTCAAAGACATTCCAGATAGACGTTGGACAGAAAACTAAGGAATTGTTGGCGACGGTCCAACCTTGTTCAGATCCCGTTCGCGTAGAGATTTGGAGAGATACAGAACTAGTTAAATCTGGTGACGTTGAAGACCTTCAAAGTTTTACGATTAATAACGCTAAGGGAATCTTCGATATCAAAATTGTTGGAACTTTGAAACTAACCACACACTTCAGAGTCTTCGCTACGACAAAACCAAGGAAGTACCCATACCCACGTATGCCTGAAGACAACCGCATAAAACCGTTTAGAAATCTCCGAGAGTGTGATTCATTGACCGTTGCCTGGTTAATATCCAGTGAGACGGCACAGTATTGCCTGTACAAGCGTGAAGATACCTCAACAAAAACCGAAAGTGATGGTAGAAAAAACCTCCGCCTTGAAAACACTTGCCACGGACCTGAAACGCGCAAAAAGAGCGAAAAGGTTTTTTGTCAGAAGGTCCACGCGCCTTCCGAAGAAGACACAGTTATGACAAAGATGGTGACGGGTCTCAAGCAAGGCACTGGTTACGTATTTGATGTATACGTTAGTAGGGACGGTAAACAGTCATTAGCGTACAGGAGCGTTAAAGTAAAAACAAAAAAGTATTGCTGACCAAGCCACTGGTAATTTAGAGCTAACCAATCGGTAAGCAGAATCCAAAAGTATGATGACGCCACTTGGCACGTGATTCATTTGGACACGTCACTGAAGACAGTAGAACATTCACGAGTGTTGCCGTCACGTGCCACAAAATACGTCTGACGTTATATCTATGATGTATTTTATAGGCCCCTATATGTACTGCTGGAGGCAGCTCGAGCGAAATTGCGACCAAAATTCGCTTTAAAAAGACAAAATACGTGTCTGGACAATCTATGATATGACATTGTGTGGTGTACTGTATTATTCGGAGATGTACAAAATTACGATCGAACTTCGGCAGGTATTTGGACATGATCCAAACAAAAGAACATGTATAAAGTGATGGTGTGGTGTTTGAAATAACCCATACATGATGATGTTTTGTGATGACGACCGGGTTTCTAAAATCCGCATTGTGAAGGTATAACAACAATGAATATAGATAATATAAAGAAGAAAAACAAAATATGAAATTGATTGGTTTTTGGACAAACCTAACAATGAAAGCAACGTTTAAGTGAAACAAATAGAACAAAACACGGAGTATACTGAGTAATTAATTTGTTGCTAAGCTCACTCAGGACGAATGTTGAGTCTGTCCAGAAATTGTTGGTAGACTCGATTGATACTGCCCTATACCTGTTCGTGATTGGAGGTGCTAACGAGTGTAACGTATTTGTAACACAATAACATTCGCATTATATGCATAGTCATGTCCAAAATAAGTTAGAATCATACCCAGTAGGCCTAGCCAGCATCCTATTAGATGCCATTTTTACTGGCTTTAGTTATTCAACAAATTAGATAATCAGCAGATCAGCCTTAAGCTGCATTTACATCGGATTCGAACCGAAATTTGGACCTCGTTTCCGATGTTCTGAACGCCAGCCATACACACTGAACATTTTCTGATCGGTTCGGTAGGCTTTCCGACGTTCCGAAAATTCGGATTAGGTGTGAATGCACCCTTATGATACATTCTATATCATTGTATTAAAATGTTATATACTGTGGATGTTTTCACTACAAAAGTGTTATTAATGTAATAAACATGCTGTATTCTATCATCAGATAGGATGTATCTATATTTATTGTATAAAGTGAACATGTTATATATAATGATGATGATAATAATAAATAATAATAATAATAATAATAATGTTATTAATGTTTATGATGATGATGATGAAGATAAACCTGTAGGGATTAAAGGTTTGATATAGTTAAGTGACAATCGGGCCTAGTTATTTCCGCTGTCAGTAAAATGTATAGAAAGCGTAAAATCACATATAATGTAACTGTAATCGTTTTTCATTGTGAACTGTAAAAGTCTGTCCAAAGATTCAAATTTTATGTGATTTGCCGATTATATTATATAATATATTATGGCCTTGATTTCGCATGCATGATGATGCATATCATGTGAAAATATACCGTAGGCTACTTGTCACATAAAACATGATGTTGTGGATTAATGTGAAGATCATTCCAAAGGAAGTGAATATTATTTCGTATCATCTTATTTCCTAATAATGTTCTTAGTAAGCTTAGCCTATACATCACTACATTTGATAGGAAGACGTTAACAAGATAAAAGAACAAGATACCTGTACCAATAAAATGTTATTTGTTCTTGAAACAAAGTACACCTCTAACTAGACTGCCTTTATTGTTATTCGCTTTTCATTATATCGCTACACAGCCGTATTATTCTTTAAAGACCCTATAAAAAAAATCGAGCTTTTAGTGAACGTTCAACCATTGCATTAAAGTGGTTTTTAACCACGTCAAAAGAAAAAATAATATTAGTAGTATGCATAAAAATATTTTATGCATACTGTACAGACTAATGCGGGCTCAAACCTTTTCATGACGTCATTCCATGACATATCCACTGCAATTTATCATTAAAAAAAATTGAGCACGGTGAATAGAAATTTAGAATACAATAGGCTTACATTTAAAAGAAGGCTGGCGTACCTCTTAAATGTTTGGTTATTTCGGATCATCAGGAAGAGTTAAGCTTGGTTTTCATACAATCGCTACACGCTATCGCCGGCAGCTTTCGGTGAAGCTCGGTTTCCATAGAATCGCTCACCCTATCGGTGACAGTTGTCGGAAAGGCTGAACCTGGTTCAACTTGGCCGATTGCTTTGCAGACGAATCGGGGTGCCTTTTTGATTCCGTCGGAGCAGCTAGTAGATGCACCCTGGTTTGTTTGCAACGCAATCGGCAAAGTTGAACCTGGTTCAACCTTCCCGACAACTGTCGGCGACTGTCGCCGATAGGGTGAGCGATTCTATGGAAACCGAGCTTAATGCTGATTGGTCGGTCGAATCCCGATTGCGTCGGGGACTGCTCCGCAGTACAACGATTTTACTGAAAACACTGTAGCGACGGTGTAGCGATTGTATGAAGACAAGGCTTTGAAAGTAGGGTGAAGCACTATTATATTGACCCAGCTATAAGACAGTAGAATAAACAAACCGAGCGGTGACATGTACTCACTGCTGATTATTAGTAGAACACAGTCCTGAGTGATTCCATGGGATGGTGTTTTTACAGGCTCGGTATAGAAAATAGGCATATTATAATGTCTACTTAGTAGTATGGGGAACCGAATGCCAAACTGATCACGTGATAATATTTTCTATGTCTCAAAGCTACACCAACATTTCAGACAAAAAACTATTTCAAATTATGCCTTCAGCGTTGCATTTATAATCCTAGTTGTTTTCACAACGTTATAAAATTTGCGCCTTTCTCACATGCTGTGTTTATGTTTTAAATTTGTTTTGACGTTTGTCTATATTTTGTTTGATTTTATTTTAGTTGTTACAGGATTAAAGAAGTCACACAAAATCGCACTGCTTTACCTAGAAATATCATCCATATAATAGTGACAGTATCCTTAGCTATGTTCTGTCGTACATGTCGATAAAATAATTACTAGGCGTGCCGCATTTACTTAGGCCTATAGCACGTATGGTAAGCTAAGGGTGTTATTTGTATCATTGAATATGTATATATTTGTTGAGATGATGTATCAAATATATAATTAATTAATTAATTACCGTGATTAATTAACGGTAATCCATAGCCACTTGTCTTGCGTGTTTTTTAAAAAAAATTACCATTTACAATAATTGCATCTATACTTGCTGATGAATTTACTCTTGTAATTCTTTAGTCTGACTCGTTGTTGTTCGTTTTGAATGTAAAGAGTTAATAGTTAATATTCTATAGTGGACTTCAAAGTATAAGTGGTAGGCCTATATGTAATACAAACAAAAAATTCAAAACACTGTGTATATTTAAACGTTTCCAATTAGTGTTGTTTAACTAGGCCTATATTCTGTTAGTCCACTGTTATTGTGCGAAACTATGAATATCTACACGTTGATAATGTAATAATAGGTTGTATAGAGAGCATTCATGTACTGTAGTATATTCAAATGTATTATAATGGTTGTCCCTAACCGTTTACAGGTATCTCATACGTTTCGTAGCATCTATAGCACGTGTAACAGGTATCATTAATCAATGTCTCTGTTAGCCGTATTTAAAAGCTGTTTTGCTTGAAAAAAACATCAGTTTATTTATTATGTAGAAATTAATAAATTATATCCGTCCTACATGCATATCCGTGATTTCTCGGCGTTTTTTTATTCATCCATTTGTCAAACACTTTATGAATGGCGGCTTATGGTCCAACATTATGTCAAAATTCATAAGTATGGATTTGGTTGTTAATATTTTACCATCCAAAACATAACTTTTATTGCATTTTCATAAAATTATATTCAAATTGAAGCGATGAATTGATAGTGATGTCTAAGCACGACACAGAATAAATAATCAAGTTTATGTCAGAGCTTAAACTAAACACAATTGTTTGTGAATATAAAATAATATGCTTAATATGGATTTCATAATAAAATAAATATTAATAAAAAAATTAAAAGATAAATGAATAAACAGGCCTAATGATAATAAAATAGTAATGATGATGATGATGATTATGATGATGTTGATGATGATATTGTTGTTGTTAATGGTGATGATGATGAATCATGATGATGACGATGGAAATAACGAAGATGAAGATGATGATGATGATGATGATGATGATGATGATGATGATAATGATAATGATGATAGTATTAATGATGAATACCACAAACGACCCAAGTTTAGAAACACATGGAAGGAACCGACAGACCGGATGAAAGAACAAACAGAAAAGAAAACACAATATTTCACAAGTAAAGCTAATGCCTCTCAACAACAGAGAGCAGTTTAGCTCAGTCAGCTAAGCTGGTGGCAGCTACCGTGGTTATCTCTTGGTCATCGGTTGAATTTCCATCGCTACTCTCCTTGTGTGAATGCAAGTTACCGTACTATAGCGCATCGTCTTTCGAATGAGACGTTTAAGCCGTATTGGTCCCGTGTACATTATGGTCCCTGTGCACGTTAAAGAACGCAGTACACTCTCCGGAAAAGTCTAGGGGATTTTCTGCCGGTGTGCTGGCCAATGAACACCAGAAGGACCCCACTGGAAATAAGTCTTCTTCAGACTTTTGTGGGTTATCCTTGGTACTTACACCGATATAAAAATATATAAATAAATATATAAATAATACAAAATATATATATATATATATATATATATATATATATATATATAATCATCAAAGGAATTATATTATTTATTAGGAAAGAAATTAAATTATATATTTATTTCACTGTTATATTATATATATATATTATATATAATTTATAACAGTGTTAACGGCTACCTTGATAATTATATATACATACATATATACACACATATATATACATATATATATATATATATAGTATTTTTAGTAGTTAGTAGTATCTCTAAGAACATACCTAACCACCTAAAATAGAAAGATCCATGAGCTTCAAGAAAAATACAGTAATCAAAAGAAACTGGTTGATCTATACCGTCCTGATGCTATGGTGACGACAAGAGGAATGAGGGGAAATTCAGTTTGATGTATTGTTACACCCCCACCCAACAATCAAATTTCTGGTTACACTATCAAAAATGTTTAAAAATTCAAGTTTAGAAATGTTCGTAAAATTAAATGATATTTACATCAGTAACACTGATATAGCAGTCTTGTCTCATGAAAGCAAAATAACGATGATTTTGAATGAATGTAATGACTTGCTCAAACTAGAGCTTACAGGGCCCTGGTTCTGGTCCTACATTAAAAAAAAAATCTTCGTAGTTAGGTAAACTGTAATTGCCAGATCGTAGTTTCAGTTATAAAATAGGTATAGCTACCAGCTGTTTTTTTTTTTGTTTGTTTATAAATTTAAACAATCTATGGCATATGAATATTCAGAAACATCAAAGAAACAAAATGAGGAAGTACCGGTAGCACGTGCATACAAAATAAAACTTTGTTCCGAGACATTGTAGGCCTATACATTGTCACAAACATCTGAATCATATTTTGCACTACACTACAATTATGAATCATCGATACAAAAGGTGCCATTCCCAAGAAATGTATTATAAAATTAAATTAAAATGAGTTTGTAGTCTAAATTCGGCATCGTGTGAAACCGTGAATGGCATAGCCCTAATGTCGCGTGATAATGTCAAAAACATTAGTGGCGCTTCATAGACATACAACATCGGTTGTTGGACTGGATTTAAAAATGTTTAATAACACAGTGTCCTTGATGAGAGGAAATCAGTGGCAAGCTCGATCGTACAACATGATAGAGAACATGTATAAAATACCATGAAACTAACAGTATTCTAATATAGGTACCGATAGGCCTAGGCCTACATATAAAACAAAAATTATGACTCCTATTTGGAAATTTCCTAACGCAAGCAACATCGAAAGTACTCGCTACTACTTGAAGATCGGATTCAACATTAGTCACTAAGGGCAAGCTCGGTGGTCTAGTGGTTATGACACCAGACTATTTATTTGAAGGTCGTAGATTCGATTGCCACCAGAATCACTTGCGAGGAGATTGTCTTCGCGAGTATATTGGGAACGTACTGAATATTCCGTAATATGACACGTCAGGTGGGCAAAACATAAACCCTAAGGACAGAAATGTAACTGATGGGTGACATAACTGACATGATAAAGGACGGAAAATGAGATACAATAAATTATATCGGGACATGACGATGGATGAATAGGCTTATAAGCCACATTTTACGCTGGCCACGTAAAGTCAAATAGGATAAAATCAACGTAATTGCTTTTGTTAGAAGTGGCGATATATTAATTTTACCTCAATAAGGTACAGAGTATACACGGTAATCCATTGTGGAAAGTAGTAGGCCTACACTAGATACCGTATACTATACAATGTTCTATTGGTCGGGTTTAATAAACCTTTAACAGTAAGGTAACATACGAAAAATCATAGTTTTCAAGGACTGCAAAATTACAAAAATTTCTATCACTTTATAACACTGTCCACTTCCTAGTGATATGGTGATATTTTTCATCATTACCGCCTGGATATCATATCTAGAAATTATTCTAATTTGAGTGTTCCTGTTTTGTCAAACAAATGCACAAGAAAACTACTAAGATAGGCAAATGTGTCAATATAAAACAGCTGAAACGTTAATGAATTAATACGGGAATGCATACCATAGCCAGAAACTTTTCTAAAAATGCCCTGGATGTTTTGTTTTAGCTCAGTAGGCCTATCTGTTTTTTTTTTTTTTTTTTTCCGTTTTTACTTAAGCTGCATATACACACCGTATCCGAATTTTCCGAATTCAGCGCATCGCAAACGCGGTCCGAATTTCGGTTGGATCCGATGAGAAAAGATGCTTTAGGGCTACTTGTAACTTTTAACCAGGTCAGTGGTCAGGCACACATAAACGCCCACTTGCATATAAGAAACTGCTGGTTTTACCATTATTTTTAAATAATTGCCGTGTTATTTTAACCATATGTATTTCATAATTCCATAAATATTTTAATCTGTCACGTCATTAACCTTAAGAAATGTTGCCACTAACTTGTTTATATATTATATGTAATCCCTCGTTCCTAATATATTTTATATCGTCTACCCACATATAGTTCATATCACTGGCTTTAATATTCCCCTTGTGCCTATATCAATATAGTTAACGATAATAACGATTTGGAAATGATACGCCTACGTATAATATTTGGATATTTTTTCGATTGACATTTGAAAAGGCGAATTCTTAATTTGCTATTAATTTTAGCAATAAAAATATAATGAATAATTTTAGTACAGTTTTCAGTAAAATAATATTAGGTGTGAAATGACGCCTCGCTGGATTCAGTTTAGTTTTCAAATGCTACGGGAGTACACCGGCACTCCCCTTCTGCCACAAAAAAAAAAAAAAAAAAATACGATAAAAAAAAAAATACGACGAATTAGGCTAACTAGTTAAAAATCACTAATTATATAACCTTATTTGCCAGCTCTTCTCACGTAGGCCTGATCATCGATCCCTCCCACTTCACCTTTCGCGCCCCTATCCTACCCACCCCAGTTTAATTCTCCTAGATACACCGCACTACACCACCGCTAACACACCAGCCGCTCCAGAGATACTAGACTAATAGTACTAATGGTGTAGGCCTACTGTTTATTTTTTATAATTTTTTTTTTTTATAGCACAGAAAAATAAGAGTTCAAACTATGAATAATATATGTAACATATAGGCCAGTATGAAAATATTTTATAACTTTATTAAATAAGATTAAATCAGGTCACAAAATAACCAAATAATATAATATGTAGAACAGTGCGTACATGGTGCGATCAATCCGAGTCATAAGGAGACTGTCAAAAATCATTTTAGTTAAGATGATCATGGATAAAATAGTCAAACAGATACATGGGAAAAGCCGTAGATTTTTAACGTGAAATTATCAAGGGAAGATACATTTCAGTTTGTTTTCTCATAATGGTTTACCTCAACGTAAAGTAGAACTATTCAATTGTCTAAAATTATATCTGATTCTGGTTTTAAAGTTAAAAATATTTCATTATCTTGCAAATGTATTCATTATTTCACTTTACAAAATCACTGCCTAAGCAAGAAACATTTTTCTCACTTTTGTGGTATGACAACCACTTCAATTACATTCCAATAACAACCGTAAAAATATATACTGCATTCATATTACGTTTATATATTTCACCTTATTTTTTGATTTTCTTTTTTTACATTTGACATCGATTCTCTTATATAAAAAAAATAAGATAAAGGAAAAGCTATTAATAGACCTATAACAATGTTGCACTCAAACAATATAAAATATTCGAAACTTATGAACGACATGTTTCGACGTGTCCCACGTCAACATCAGGTAATCATCGTGGGACACGTCGAAACATGTCGTTCATAAGTTTCGTATATTATATTAGATGCATTACTGCATTTGCATTAATAACTATTATTCTTTTTAAAGTAAAAAAAACATACACCTATGTTTATCAATGCAGAGGATATTTATGTAATTTCAATAAACTCATACCTTAACATACAGTAACATGATACCAGGGAGGAAGAGATGATATATTATATGTGTTCAGTACCGGTATGTCAATTGATTTCTTTTTAAATTT